CATGACATCCAAAGGCAGAAAGAGTATTCATCTACCATTTTTGAATGTAAGAATATGAACATAATTTTAGCTGCCATAGCCAATATCTAATGCTTCCTAGGCCCAATAAAGGAAAAGCGTGCCAGTCTCTCAATCATTACATCTAATGGAAAGAAAATTTGCTTCACATCATAAGGGAAACTATTTTAAAAACAACCTAGAATGGGTGATAGAATAGATTACACAATCCAAATTGGTCCATTATCAATTCTGTTAAATTTTTTGGTTCATCTATGTTTAACACGCTGGATTCCACAGTGACAAACATGAAAGCAGGAAAGATATTGTGCATGTTTGGGAAACATTGTAAGTTCCTTATTATTTAATGGTCAAAGTTAAATATTAATTTTAGTCACATTTTTCAAAGGATTCACAACGACTACCCACTCATCCAACACCCATTTCTATCCCATTATAATTTCATCAACTTATAATTTTATCAAAACAAGCACAACAACACTAGGATTTACACAGAAAATTCAAAACCTGGATAACCATGAAATTCTAGACTTGCAAATCTACTAAGAAAAACAAATGTTAATATCACTTATTTTGATGCTACAATAGGAGAGGCCCCCTCTTGATTTTCACCAAATCTGATTGGATTTATGAATAAGGTTATGAAGAGAACAAGGCATAAAAAGTTTAAAATGAATTGTACATATCAAGAATTTCAGCATTACTAACAACCATACCTTCTCAGTAAGCTTCAATATCATAGTCTCAACTGCAGCAGCATCTGCCGATGATTTGTAAGTTGCTTCAAGGGTACGTATTGCCACAGCAGTGTCCATATTCACTGATGAAAGTTCCCCATTGTCATCCTGTGAAAATGTTTCGCTAATGTCACCAGGAACCGAAAGGAAAAGGACATTGTGGAAAAAAATCTAATACATGAAGCCCCTGTTTGATTTAAATTTTACATTGGATTTTTAGTAGATTTTAATAAAAGTTAGTAGAATGTGTTGTAGAAAAGTTGTGAATCCCATGAAATATGTTGTTAAAATTAATTGTTGACTTTTACTTAGATTATAATCAATATTTCTACTGGAACCAAACAAGGGCAAAATATCGTGTCTAATGAGACCATAAGCATAAAAAACACTAACATTTAACAATTCTGCAGAAACAGTATATCAATTACTAAGCTGCTGACCTGAGCCTTGATCTTATACACTCATTAACATAATCCCATTAAAATAAATGTTTGTCAAACAAGAAGGCTAAGAATGTTGGAAAATAGTGAGTAATGTACCTGCCAATTTTTGCACATAGCAATAATCCGGTCGAAGTCCGTATTTATTGCACGCAGGAAGTGATCAGAAGGGCTTTGCATAATTGGGCAAGGAAATCCAGCATTTGAGAAGTGCTTCACAAATAAGCTTTTGTTAGGATTCCACAGTGTACAATGCCAAAAGAGGAAAACAAAAGGGCGTCCCGATGTTCTCTTTAGCATATAAAAAATTCTTGATCCTAGTTTACATTGATATCCTCACCAAAGAAATAATATTTGCATGACTATGAACTACCATTCTTTTTAACTGAGTTGTAGAAAAAGGTTCAGTAAAAAATATTTCTAATTCCGAGGGCAATCAAATGTGTTTTATAAGGTGCATCGTTTGACCAGGACGCATTACCTGAAGCGTTTCTGGAACTTAAAAGACCTCAATATCAATTAACTTCAATTGTTAGGTAAATAATCTTTTCAGGCATATATTACCTGCAAACAAGCCAGCGTTTCCCCAAAGAACAACGTGTTCCCATTTGAAAGAAGGCAAATGCGATCGAAAAGACCAAAAACTTCTGTGCTGCTCTGATAAATGGTGAATATCAGAGTGCATCCGGTGCTTGCCAATTTCTTCAAGGTAACCATCATCAGGAGTGCAGAGACACTGACATGAAATAAGTTACCGGTCAATGAAAAGGGTGAGGAGACAATTTTGACGGAGATGAACAAAAAATCAGACAAAATATTTGCGGGCAGGGCCTATGGGCTAATGTAAGATACCAAACTAAACTAGGTTAAAAATTACAAAGGAATGAAGAAAAGGGAGAACAGGATGCATAAATATTATTCACTTCAAAGACATAAAATCACAGTTCTCAAGTTTACACTAAGACATCTACCAACAATGTCTTTAAAATCTAAAAATAGGTTTTGGAGTAAAAAGAAACCTGTCAAGATGATAAAGAGGCTCGTCAATAAATAAGACATGTGGTCTCATCACAAGTTCCCTGGCAATGCTGACCCTTCTTCTCTCACCCGTAGGAAGACCCTTCATGTAACAGTGACCGCCTATGAGTTTGTTGGCATAATCCCCCAGTGACATAGAAAGGATGGCATCCTCCACCACACTTCTCTTTTGGAAAAAGAATCCAGGAAGCTGAAGCAATGCGGAGTAGTAAAGGAACTCACGAACAGTCAAGGATCCGATAAGTGTTGTCTCTCTATCAACGAATCCCTATGAAAATACAAATGAGAGTAAATAGGATGAAATAAAAAAATAAATAAAGGAAAAAAGATGACAAAAAAAAAA